CAGTGCTGGGGTGGGTGGGGCCCGGGGACCAGGCCCAGGGCAGGGGAATCCTAGAGGGACATGCTGGGGACCCCCACTCCTGGGTCATAGAGGGGCTGCAGGCCTGGACTCCCGGGTCCCTGACGCTCCTTTCTGCCCATCTCAGCCCTCGCTAGGTGTCACCAGTTCCTCGAGAGCCCTCCTGTATGTAATCCTCTGCCCCGTGGGCTCGTACTTCCCTGGAGATGCCATGAGCCCCGTCTCCCTCCTGGCTGACCCCACGTTCATCCGGGCCTGGGTGGGTGGGGTCGGAGACTGCAAGCTGGGCGGGTAAGTAGTCCTGCTCCCACCTGGCAAGTTTGGGTCTGGTGCCCTGGAGGTGAGACTCAGGGTCGCCCATGCTCTGGAGGGTGTCTTTGGATGTTCATTGCCCTCTCTAGGGGACAGCTCTGCCCACAAATTGGGATGTGATGTCATTGGCACCATGGTGGTTAGGGCGGTGTGTGTGTGGTGGGGGGAGGGGGTGTGTTGGGTGGAGGTAAGTGGGGAAACCAGGACTGGCCCCTTGGAAGCCTCCAGAAATACAGTTTTACACTTAGTTCATTGGTCTCACCCCCAGGTAGCCTCCCCTGAACCCCCGGGCTGGCCCCCTCCCCCACCTAGCTCCCCTAGGCCCTGGGCCTCCAGTGCCCACCGCCCTGTGTGTGAATTTCTGCATCAGTCTATATCACCAAGGGCCTTGGTTCAGGATGGCATTTAGGGTCTGCTGGGTGGTGACAGAGGCAGAGGGTGGGGTAAGGTGTGCTGGGACAGCAGGTGTGGTCACAGCTGGGAGCTCACTCAAGTCCTTCCCAGCACACATCTTCTGAGGTCTTCCGGGGGTAGGCCCTGTGCCAGGTGAAGCTGGGGACACAGATGGGTTGGATCTGGCCCCTGCCCTCCAGGGGCTCCCAATATCCAGGGCAGCATGTGCTCTGATGGAAGTGACTGGGGCACTTTCAAAGTCTTCACAGAGGAGGTGGTGACAGTGACGCCTCAGCTGAGTCTGAAGGGTAGGAAGGAGCTGGCTCCCTGGGTTTGAATGATGGTAAACAATTTCGTATCCTGGGACCACGTGTTTGGGGCAGGGAGGAGGGGCAGAGTGGCAGGAGTTGTCAGAGGAGAAAAATAAGTCTGGTCCAAAGCAGACCAGGCCCTGACCACCAGACTGAGGCTCTGATCTTGTCCCAGGGGTGATGGGCGCCATGGGAGGCTTGTGAGCAGGTGAGGGGTGAGGTCAGCTTTGGGTGAGAGACAGTGTTAAAACAAAGTAATATGGAAAATCTTGGAGGTGGCCTGATTTATCGGGGAGTCCAGAGAAGGCCTGGAACCTGGCCTGGAGGTTTGGAAATGCCTCGTAGAGCAGGTAACATCACAGGGGTTTTGAAGGGCACTTCAGGAGTTGGATGAGGGAGGTGACGCCAGAAAAGGAAACAAGGATAGGGTGGGGAGAGGAAGGATGGACCACTGAGAGCCTTGACCCCAAGCGACTGGCCAGGGAGTCTGTCCTGGGGGTATTGGGGAGCCACAGGAGGGCTGCGAGCTGGGGTGGAGCAGGGCCACGCTGGGGCTCCCTCGCCCTCGCTAACCTTGTTGTTCTTCACCAGGAATTATGGGCCCACGGTGTTTGTGCAGCAGGAGGCGAAAAAGAAGGGCTGTGAGCAGGTCCTCTGGCTGTACGGGCCTGACCACCAGCTTACTGAGGTGGGCACCATGAACATCTTCGTCTACTGGACCCACGAGGATGGGGGTGAGCCCACCCACGACCCAACCTAAGCCCTGGTGGGGGTGGGTGGTGTGATGATTCCTAGCAGATGGCAGGTTGCAGGGATTGGGGTGGGGCAGCTCCTGAGAGGATGGGAGGGCATGAATGAGGGTGTGAGGTGACGCCCCCATCCCTTGCACCTGATCCAGTGTTGGAGCTGGTGACCCCCCCGCTGGATGGTGTCATCTTGCCTGGAGTGGTCAGACAGAGTCTGCTGGACCTGGCTCACACCTGGGTGAGGGCTCGGTGTCTTCCGGTGGTGGGAGTGATGGGGTCCTGCTGTGTTGGGGGACCAGGGCCTCTGGGGCTGGGGTGGGGGCTGGGGCACACTGGCTTGTCTCTGTCCCCCTCTCTGGGTGTCTATCTCCCGCCTTGGGTCCCTGTCTTTCTCGCCACCCATAGGGCGGGGGAGGCAGTTGCTCAGGGCAGCCCACCAGGTTCCTGCTCTGTTTCTTGCCCTGCAGGGCGAGTTCCGGGTGGTGGAGCGGAAGATCACCATGAAGGAGGTTATGCGAGCCTTGGGGGAGGGACGGGTCCGGGAAGTCTTTGGCTCAGGCACCGCTTGCCAGGTCTGCCCTGTGCATCGAATCCTGTACCAAGGCAAGGTGAGCTAGGGCTGCCACTGGAGGTGGGGGGGGATGGGGGAGGGGCCCAGTCCTTACGGGCTTTCCTTCCTAGGACCTCCACATTCCCACCATGGAAAATGGGCCTGAGCTGATCCTTCGCTTCCAGAAGGAGCTGAAGGCAATCCAGGTGAGGCGCGCTGGCTGGGGGGCGGGCTGGGTGCTCCTTTCCCAGAGAAGTTCATGCCCCACGAGCCTCTGGTCTGAGAGCATCTCCCCCCAATAGTCCCACCAGAGGCTAATGGACCCTCCCACCGGCCTCTGGGCCCCTGAGTGGGCTTTCCTCGAGCCTCTGTGGCCTAGAGCACTTCTTGGGGCCCAGTGACCCTTCCCTGAGCCTCTGCAGCCCCTGGGTGTCCTTCTGGTGGGAGACCTCCCCTTCCCACCAGCCTCTGGGACTTTAAGCCACAGAAGCCCACTCCCCTGGGTCCCCTGGAGCCCTGGGCTACCCGTTTGGCCTGAGAAGTCTCTCCTCCAATCCTCTGGGCCCCCTCTGTGGCGCAGGGCTGTTTCCCCTCCTAAGCCCCTAGAAGTGTTTCCATTCATCTGAGCCAAGGTATCTTTCCTGGGGACCCCTGGGCCCAGCTCCTGGCACGGGACCTAGAACTGCCTTTCCCGCGGCCTCTGTAAACTCGGGCCCGGGACCTTGAACTGCGGTTCTCTCCACTCTCTATGGGGCTTTTCAACGGACTTTCCCCAGAGCCCTGGGGCCTCCGTGCGGGGCTGCGGCGCGGCTCCCCGCTCACGCTCCGCCCTGTCGTCCCGCAGTACGGAACGAAGGCCCACGAGTGGATGCTCCGGGTGTGACGCTGCAGACTGTGCCCGGCCACCCTCGGGCCCACCGGCCTTAGCCCTAGTCCCTGCCGGAGCCGCGTCTCCCTACCAATGACAACCTGAAGTGCAATATGAAATAAGAGGCCGCGGCCGGGGCGCCTGGGTCTCTGGCGCCCCCGCGTGGCCGCCACGCTCCCAAAGCCTTACGGGCCCGACCCAGGCGTCCGGGCCCCAGCTCCGCCTCAGGCCTGGGGGATTTGGATTCCCAGCTGCTCTGTGTTGAGGGGTTAAGTCTACGCCTTGGCCCCCGACTCCGCACCTCTCCGTTCTCAGACCGGATCTCCCAAGTGCTGCCGTTGATTTTTTTTCTTCTTGCTGGAATTTTGAAATAAAATGCCAAATACAAGACATTAGCTGTCATCTCCAGTGATGCAACCACTCGTCAAGGGCATTACCTGGCTTGCAGGTTCGATCCCCAGGCCCCGTCAAGGCGCTTGCAGGAGGCAACCAATGATCTCTCCCCCCCACTCCCCCCAACTCTAAAAATCAATGGAAAAAATATCTGATAAGGACCTACTCTGTTGTGTAACTGTGTGGATTTGGGCAAAGTGAATCCCTCTCTGGGCCTCAGTTTCCCCATCTATAAAATGGAGATATTAATAGCACCTCGCTCATAGGCTTGTTGGAGGATTAATAGGGCACTTATACCTGACACCCTGGGACCAGCTGGGCCTGGGAGGCTCTGGACCACCAGGGGGTGCCACAGCCCCAGGCACTGAAAGTTGAGGATGCTACTGAGACACAGCAGAGGAAACTGGCCTCACTCCCAGGCACCACATCCCCGGTGAACCAGCTACCACCCCAGGGACCTTTGTGCCATTTCTCCCTTCTCCACCAGCTAACTGGGTGCAGATGCCAGTGTATTAGTTAGTGCTGTGTGGCAAATTACTCCCAAATCCCCACAGCTTAAAATAACAAACATTTACTATCTGGCATAGTTTCTGAGGGTTGGAATCCAGAGCTGCTTAACCAGGTGGTTCTGCTTCAGGCTTTGTTAAGAGGTTTCAATCAAGCTGTGTAACCAGGACCTCGATCAGCTGGAGGCTCCCCTGGGACTGGAGGGTTCCTTTCCAATTACAGTTCACATACAATATTACGTTAGTTTTACATATAGAACATAGTGATTAGACATTTATATAACTTATGAGGTGGTCACCTGACGAGTTTATTGCCCATATGCCGTTGTACGTAGTTATTACTTCATGCACTCGTGATTGCTTTTACGGCTGGCAATTAGCACTTTTTAATCCCTTCACTCGAGACACGTTGAAAGGAACTTGAGATACTAGAGTTGGTTAAAAGTTCACTGATTAAATTTGCAATCAATGTTTAAGTGTGTGGGGAAATTAACGTAGTGAAAGCCATGGCTTGCTATTTTTAGCTGTGGAAGGAGTCAGTGACTGTTTAGAGGAAAGCTGATCATTTAAAATTAATCATTACCAAGAACACAAACAGCTGTGAATAGTTGTGGCCATACACAAAAGCTCTCCTGACATAAAAAGATTTCACTGTAATCTTTTCAACAAATGGTGCTGGGAAAACTAGATACCCACATGCAAAAGAATGAAGGGGGACCCTAACGTTACACGTTATGCAAAAATGAACTCAAACCAGGGACCTAAATGTCAGACCTAAAACTATAAAGCTCTTAGAAGAAAGCTTGTCTTAGGGGAAAAGCTTCGTGTCATTGGATTTGGCAACGATTTCTCTGCTGTGATGGCAAAAGCACAGCCAACAAAAGTAAAAATAGATAAACGACTCCATCAAAATTTAAAACTTTTACCGTAAATCAAGGGACACAATAACATTCAGCCTATGGAGTGGGAGAAAGTATTTGCAAATCATATATCAAATAAAGGGTTAATGGCCAGAATATATAAAGAACTTTTACAACCACAACCACCACCAAATAACCTGATTTAAAAAACAGGCAAAGGCCTGGCCGGGTGTGGCTCAGCGGTTGAGCGTGGACCTAGGATCCAGGTGATCTGGGTTTGATTCCTGGTCAGGGCACAGGCCCGGGTTGCGGGCTCCATCCCCAGTCGGGGGCGTGCAGGAGGCAGCCGATCAATGACGCATCTTTAGTGTTTCTATCTATCTCTCCCCCTCCCTTCCTCTCTCTGAAATCAATAAAGATATATTTAAAAAATAAAATAAATTCACTTTAAAAAAAAATGGGCAAAGGACTTGAGTAGACATTTCTCCAAAGAAGATATACATACACATGAGTAAGACATACAGCGTACCCAGGTGAGGACGCTCAGTATCACTGATTATTAGGGAAATGCAAACGAAATCCACCACGAGGTGCCCCTTCACACTGAACAGCATGAGTGTGATCACAAAACACGACAAAATAACAAGTGGCGAGGACGTGGAGAAACAGAGCCCTGTGCCCTGTTAGGGGGAATATTTAGTGGTGTAGCTGCTGTGGGAAGAGTGTGGTGTTGGCTTAGTCAGGGTTCTCCGGAGAAACAACCAATAGGACATATATATATATATCCCCACTCCACAGGTTGACTGTTAGTGTGTCCTTTGTTTTTGTTTTTTTAAAATATATATCTTTATTGATTTCAGAGAGAGGAAGGGAGAGGGAGAGAGAGAGAGAAACATGAATGATGAGAGAGTCATGGATCGAGCCCGCAACCCGGGCATGTGCCCCGACCGGGAATCGAACCCCGACCGCCTGGATCCCAGGGCGACGCTCAGCCGCTGAGCCACGCCCGGCCGGGCGGTGTCCTTTGGTTTACAGTAAAAGTTTTAAATTTTGATGTAGCCCAATTTATTTTTACTTTTGTTGCCTGTGCTTTTGCTGTCATAAAAAAAAAATCATTGCCAAATCCAACGGCACATAGTATACTGTATGGTTGTGCTCACAGGGGGTATCTAAAGCAGTAAAACTCATCGGGGCAGGGAGCAGAGCTGAGGCAGCAGGGGCCGGGAGGCGGAGAGCGAGGGGGAGCCCCTGTTCGACGGGTGTGGGGTTCGGGTGTGCGAGACCAAACGTCCTGGGATCGGCTGCGCAATACCATGAATATACTCAATACTACCAAACTGGAACTTAAAAATGGTTCAGACGGTATATTTTATGTCGTGTGTATTTGATCATATTTTTTTTCAATCCTCAACCAAAGTTATCTTTTTATTGATTTTAGAGAGAGAGGGAGAGGGAGAGAGAGAAACATCAAAACATGGATCAGTTGTCTCCCATGCGCCCCCCACGGGGAATCGCACCCGAAACCTTCTTGGTGGGGACAGTGCTCCAACCAACTGAGCCGCCCAGGCAGGGCTGATCGTATTTTTGAAAAAAGATCTTGACCCGTGGTTTTTCTCTGACAGTCTACACTACGGTCACCGCGGGCAGGGCCGCGCAGGCTCGTTGAGCGTCTGCTGGCATATGCCACGTGCCCAGCTCCCTCGCACATTTGTGACTTTGGATTATGACCTCATTCCAGACTTCCTCTGATATCTGAGTGGAGACCTTTGCTTTGGCTGGATGCCCTGGGGCTATCAGCAGTCCAGCCGCTATTCCAGCAGGTGCTCAGCTGGGCAAGCCTCTGCCACCCAGTGTGACTTCATACCCAGGCCACGTGAGCCTGGCCTGTCCGGTGGTTACACAATTTTCAACAGAGAATCACCCCCTGCCCGTCCAGAGCCCAGACAGAAACAGGAGATCCCCCTGAAGTTTTCTCAGTGCAGTTTGGTGGATTTTTTTTTATTATTATTGTTGTGAGATACACATAACATAACACCACTTTCACTACTTTAAAGCACACAGTTCAGCAGCAGTCAGCACATTCACATTGCTGTGCAACTGTTACTGTCTCTAGGATTTTTTTCCTCCCAAATTAATACTGTACCCATTAAGCAGCTTCCCGCTCACTCCCCCTTGTCCCCCAGCCCCTGGCAGTCATCATTCTATCTCCTATTTTTATGAATTTGCCTCTTCTAGGTCCTTCTTTATACGTGAAATCACAGGGTCTCTGTCCCTGTGTGTCTGACTTTTTTTCACTTAGCGAGGTGTCTTCAAGGTTCACCCATGTTGTGAGCATGTGTCAGGATTTCCTTCCCCTTTCAGGAGGAACAATATTCCATTGTATCCAGGTTGGTAAGATTTTAACCATGAGGCCTTCACTGAAGTAGTGGCCCCTGGAGCTTCACCTTGAAGCACGTGTCCTTGTCACAGGAAGCTGCAGGTCAGTCCGCTTCCCACTCTGAAGGTCACTCTTTTTTATCTTTTCTTTCCCCCTCCCATCCCCTCTTCTTCTCTTCCTTTCCCTTTCTTTCTTTCTTTCTTTCTTTCTTTCTTTCTTTCTTTCTTTCTTTCTTTCTTTCTTTCTTTCTTTCTTTCTTCCTTCCTTCCTTCCTTCCTTCCTTCCTTCCTTCCTTCCTTTCTTTCTTTCTTTCTTTCTTTCTTTCTTTCTTTCTTTCTTTCTTTCTTTCTTTCTTTCTTTCTTTCTTTCGATTGGGGGGGCACCTGGAGATTTCTCTTTCTTCTTATAAGCTCATCCATGAATTTCTCTTTGTAAAAAAAATTTATTTTATTTTATTGATTTCAGAGAGAGGAAGGGGGGAGAGAGAGAAACATCAATGATGAGAGAGTCATGGATCGGCTGCCTCCTGCACACCCATCGTTGAGGATCGAACCCGCAACCTGGGCATGTGCCCTGACCGGGAATCGAACCCCGATCTCCTGGATCCTAGGTCGATGCTCAACTGCCAAGCCACGCCGGCCGGGCTCATCCATGCATTTCTAAGGGACTACAGTACGGATTTTTTTGTCAGGAAAAACTTGAACTTGATATATTCTGAACTTACAGAAAAGCTTCAAGCTTTGTACAAAGAACTCTGTATATTCTTTTCCCAGGTTCCCCAATGCTCGCCACTCCTGCCCCCCTTTCCTCTGTTGTTCTATCTCTAGATTATATATTTGCATTTCCAGAAACATTTGAGAAAACATTGGTGATACCATATCTCTTTGTCCCTAAATACTTCAGTGTGTATTTGCTAAGGACAAGGACATTCTTTTTAATAATTACAATACGGTGAGCAACATCACCGGGGCTGGATTACTACCATCTGAGGTACTGAGCGCACCCAAATGCCATAGGCTGTCTTGTGAACCTCCAGGGTGAGCAATCCCTCCGCGAACCGCACGTCATGGGCTGTCTCTCTGGCCTCCATTCATGTGAACAGTTCCTCTGTTTTTCTCTTTCTTGACCTTGACATTTTCCAAGAGTCTAGGCCAGTTGCTAGGCAGTAAGTCCCTTGATTGGAATTTGTTTCCTTGCTATTAGATTCAGGTTAGAGGGTACAGCCTCCTAATCTTCCTAAATCCCACCCCGAAAAGGCCCATGTGGAATAAGCAGGAGAGCAAAAGTTCACGGAGAACTTCTTCTGCAAAGCCAGCTGGCAATGGAGCCCCGCGAACCCTCAAATATAAGTAGGTGGGGCCAAACCAGTACCAGTTCAGGGGGCAAAGGGAACTGAAGAAAGTGCTCTGGGGGCTGGAATTCTGCACCAGGCCTCAGCCCTGGAGGAGAGGCTGCCCCAGCCAGGGACGGGGTGACAGAATCTGAGAAGAGCAGCAGAGGTCCCGTGTGTGTGTGTGTGTGTGTGTGTGTGTGTGTGTCTTCACAGGCTCCAATTAGTAGGTGAGTGTAGGAGGCTCCGGGGAGATGGAAGGTGCTGGATGGCCTGGGTCCTGAGTTATCTCAGAATTATTCATTAGAATCTCTCTTTTGGGGACAAAACTCCATACTTTAAAAAAAAACTATTATTGAAATATATTAGACATAGAACATTGTATAAACTTAAGGTCTTTGCCATGTTAATTTGATACACTTATACATTGTAATAAATGTATAAATGTATCAAATTATGGGATAGAGGTACAGTGACTGCTACCTAATTACCCTTTCCTTTTAGTGTTTGGACAAAGCTCCCCTCCCGTGAAAGTATGTCCTTGACAGTTATTACAGTCCGAAGTCCATGAGGCCTGGATGGAAACATTCAGATCCTCAAGTTCCCTTCCTGAGACCTAGGGCTCCAGTCGCCAGTCCCCCCACCCTCAGCCCGCATGTCTGGGCCCTCAGCCCTCCCTCCCTCAGACTAGGGCATCCAGGCTCCTATTCCCCTGTCCTCCTGTGACTCACATGTTCAGATGCCCAGCCCTCTGATCCCTCAGAACCCAGGAGTCCTTGTCTTAGCTCTGAGGACCAAGAGGTCTTCCCATTTCTAGTGCCAAGTGAACCCAGAAAAACTACATCTCCTGTGAGATTGTGGGTCTACAGTGTCATTAAAAAATAATCCCCTAGCCTGGCAGGGTGCAGCTCAGTGGTTGAGTGTCGGCCTAGGATCCAGGAGATCGAGTTTCGATTCCCAGTCAGGGCACATGCTTGGTTTGCGGGCTCGATCCTCAGTTGGGGGCGTGCAGGAGGCAGCCGATCAATGACGATTCTCTCATCATTGACGTTTCTCTCTCTCTCTCCCTCCCTCCCTCTGAAATCAATAAAGATATATTAAATAAAAAAAAATCCCCTATCATTGAGGCACCTCTGAGAGATAGTTCCACAACACTAGCACGTGAGGTTGGGGGTTAGAGTGTGTGGGGATAAATTCTGTCCTGTCAAAGGGCAAGGATGGTCCAGAGTCCCTGGGGATACCTATGGGAACAGAAGACTGAGGCCCAGGGGGAGGCTGGGATTTCTCACATCCTTTCAGCAATGGGGGACAGGGGGCTTTGGGGGTCAATGGGAGGGGTGAAGCAGATCCCATGCCCTTCCTCAAACACTCACGCATGCTCACTCTGATCCTTCTTTCTGACTCTTTATTATTCCAAGTAAGAAAAGTAAAAATATAAATAAGATAAATAACCCAATAAATAAAGAGGAGACCCAATAATAAACAGCCCATGGCTTCAGGACGCGTAGCTGGGGCTTTGGCCCTGCGAAGGCCACACCATGCTCAGGGGGTCTGAGGAGGCCACGTCGGGAGGTTCAGGGGCCAGGCCCCCTGGAGGCTCCGGGTGTGCTGGGGGCAGGCCAGGCAGCGGCAGGAAGCGGGCGGGTCCCCCGCGAGGCAGGCCCCAGGGTGGGGAGCTGCGGGGGGGCAGGCGGAGTGGGAGGCCCCGGGCCTCGGACTGGTAGATGTTGTAGCCGTCCTCGAGGAGCAGCTCCCGGAAGCTGCAGGCCTCGGGGCTGAAGTGGAGCTGAGGGGACAAGAACAGAGGCCAGAGTCACCGCCAAGCCTCCTGCCGCAGGACCCAGGGGTCTGGGCCTCCCACCCCAGCCTCAAGGACACTCGCTTGCTGTCCCCACTTCACAAAGAGGAGCATTCCATTCCGCCCAGGGGACAGTGGAGGCTTTCCAAGACCAAGCAGGGGAGTCTGGCCGCCACCTGAGGTCACCGTCCCTGTATAGGCCATGGCCTCCCTGAGAGATCTGTGCCCAGCATGAGCCAGACACGTGGAAGCTCGTGGGCTCCACAAGGGTTAAAAGACACTAGACTTGGTCTTTCAGGCCACTGCGCCATTCACAGGCCTCTTGACTTGGGGCCAGTGGTGTCACTGCCCGAGCCTCAGTTTCCCCTTCTTGCAAACATTGATAACAACAGCCCCACCTTTACAGGGTTTGGTGAGTTTGGGCCACGCAGAGCACAGAACCAAGCCTTGTCCCAGGGCCACGGTGCCAGACTTGGTACCAGAGGACGGCGTGATAGGAGGAGGGGCAGGGTCCCAGGAGGGGCATCCTGTACACTCACCGATCCGTACAGTGACCCGTCTGGCCGCTGGCACAGGAACCGGGATGTCTTGACTCCCAAGACTTGGATTACGCCTGGCTTTAGGGCCTTCAGCTCCAAGAGACCTGAGGAAAGAAAGTGATCAGAGACACAGGCGGCCTTTTCACAGCCCCTCCTCCCTCAGACCCAGGAATATGGGCTCCCAGGCCCTCCTCCTTCAGACCCAGGCCCTGCCCCCACACTCACTTTCGGGACTCCGGTGGGCAGACCCAGCCACTGTGCCATCAGCCCTGATCTCCAGGTGAGCCTCTGTCCCCCGGGCATCTTCTGTGTAGAGGTACCTCTGCCGCACTTGGCCCCCAAATTGGAGGAGGGGGCTGGAGTCTGGGATGGGGTGTGCCTGGCAGGCTCCCAGCAGGACAGCCAGCACAGGGACCCACAGTCCTGGGTACTGGAACCAGGCCTTGTCCCAGCCCATCAATGGCTCACGTCGTCTGGCCAGGTCTGGAGTCTGCAGTCTGCTTCGCTGAAGGATATAGTTTCTGTTTAGATCCTGAGTCTGGATGAGTGGACTCATGGGTTGCTGCTCAGGTAGTCCAAACGCCTGGGTCTTTTTGCACGTGGATTCCCAGCTGATGGAACAACCAAGTCTCTTGGGATAGATGCAGAAGCTCTAGGATTTATATCCAAACAGACCCGCCCAATCACCTTCCCTACACCTGACCCATGATATTTGACCCACTTGGCAAGAGCACGGATTCCACCGTGGCCAGGTCAGCCCGAACAGGTGATGCAACCAGTCAGGGGGGCCTTCGGCTGGGGCAGGGACTCCGGGTCTGAGGGAGGAGGGGCTGGGGCCTGGACTCCTGGGTGTGAGGGAGGAGGGGCTGGGGGCCTGGACTCCTGGGTGTGAGGAAGGAGGGGCTGGGGCCCTGGACTCCTGGGTGTGAGGGAGGAGGGGCTGGGGCCTGCAAACTGCCTGCCTCCCTCAATGACTGGTGCAGATTGTGTCCCATAACTAGAGTTTCTGACTCCATCAGGGCATCTAGGCTTCTGGGGGTCAGACTGTGAGGTTCCTCAGTCTTCAGGAAATCAGCAAATGCCACAGGACCAAAGTGTCCTCCCCAGGGACACAGAAGTCCTGGACCAAAAGCCTCTCACCTGGTTGGGAGCCAACCTCCAACCTCAACCTCACCAACCACTGCCCAGAAGCTGGTCCACCAAGCATCCAGGCCTCTTCCAGAACAGCCCGGGGGTGGTGACTCTAACGCAGACTTTCAGGTGAGCCAGGCTCTGGAGAATGAAGTTAGACTCAAGAGCCCAAAAGGAGCAAGGGATAGGCCATTTCTTGGAATCTGAAGGTGAAAGGATTGGAGATGGGTTCCGAAGGAGGAGGTGCTGGAGGCCTGGACTTCCTCAGTCTGAGAACCCTCAGCACCGGCCCTGGGCCTGGAGGAATTATGCTTACCTGTCTGAGAGCCAGTGAAACTCTGAGTCCTTGGCTCAGACTGCTGGGCGGGGTGGGCGAGGTGAGAAGGTGACTCAGCGATGGCAAATCTTTTTGTTGAGGGGAAAGCAGAGGCTTCTTTTCTGGTGCTGGGCTCTGGGCTCTGCAATGGGCAAGAAAGAGGAAACTCTCCATTCTGGTATCCTTGGGGGGGGGGCTGCCTCCCAGATGTGCAGTCTAGAAAGCAGCAGTTAGGCGCCAGATCCTAGGATCTCCCCAAAGGAGAGGCTGAGGCCGCAACTCTTGAATTTGCGGGTGTATGGCAGGGATGGGGGGATCAGCGCCCCGGGTGGGGCGGGGACACCTTCAGGTCGTCCCCTGAGAGCTGGAGGAGGCTTTCCATCCGCTCCTGGAGCCGCCAAGCAGACAGTTCTCCATCCCCACCAAGAGGATGTGGTCTGGGGAGGAGAACCGCCCTCCCCCCGGGACCTGGGCGCCGGGACCAAGAGGCCTGGCTGGGCGCATTCAGACACTTGGGAGAGATGGTTAGTTCAGACCCGAGGGGAAGGTGGAGAGGTGGAAAGACCCGATCGCCCGGGTCCAGCATTGCATCCGGGCGCCAGATCTCCACGTCCAGCAAAGGCTGCGGCTCCTGGGTGGCCAGGTAGGGGCCCCCTTGCTGGCCAGTGCCTGGAAGGAGGGGCTGGGATGGTGGGCGAGCTGCCTAGTCTGGGGCTCAGCAAAGAGGTGGGGCTCCACCTGGCTGCGGGCTGTTACCTGCCACACCCAGGAGACGCTGAGGCTGTGAACCAGCAGGCCACGCCCACTCTTCGCGCTCCCAGAACCACTGCGGCCAGTTTAGGGAACAGGCGTGGTGGGAACTGGCTGTGGGTCCTGGGAACCTGGAGTCTGCCGTTCCGGGGCGGCCAGATGTAGCCTGCTGTTGGGGACAGCGCACTCCCTCCACACCAAGCCGACAGGGTATCAGCCACCTACCAGGAGCTCAGGTTAGTGGGAAGTGCGGATACCCCAAACCCAGGGGTGGCACTCCCAAACTCTAACCCTCTATGACCCTAGGGCCCGAGGACGCTCCTCCACCCCCACTCCCCAGCTCCTGCCTCTCGGGGGAATGAAGATCTCTTATCAGCCCTGGGCCTCCCGCCCCTCAAATTCTATTTGGCCTGTCGCTTCCTGTCACCTCCCTGGTGGATTCTGTCCTTCACATAGTCACACCTGAGAAAGGAGCTGTGGAACACAGTCCAACTTCCGTGGGCCTTACAGGTGGGGACAGGGAGACTGCAAGACGTGGGGACAGGTGTTGGATCCTGGACCACTGCTATCTTGGAAACCACCGATTTTCACCATCTCCCATCCCCTTCCCCCAAATTCCAAACCTCCAGCTTCTCCTCCCTCAGATCCAGGAGTCCTGGGCCCTGATCCCCTTTTCCCTCAGACCCAGCGTCCAAACTCTTAGTCCCCTCATTCATTCCTTCAGGCCTCGCCTCCCTGACTCTCCCTCAGGCTCCGAGCTTCTGCTAACTCTCCTTTCCCCCTGCAGCCATGTGGACCCTCCGCAGGAGTCACCTGTGTCTGACTTTCCTGCTAGTGTGTGTTCTTTCAGGAGTCTCCTTCCTCCACTATCAAGGCCTCTTTCACAGCGGTCTGGACCTGTCTTTCCTGTTTGCACACCGACACCGGGTAACAGCGCCTGTGGCCATCTTCTGCCTGTCGGGCACTCCGAGGACCAACACCTCCTCTTCCTGTCCCAAGCCCCCTGCCTCCCTCTCAGGGGCCTGGACCATCTCCCCAGCGGGCCGGCTAGGTAACCAGATGGGGCAATACGCCACCCTGCTGGCGCTGGCGCAGCTCAACGGCCGCCAGGCCTTCATCCTGCCCGGCATGCACGCTGTCCTGGCCCCCCTGTTCCGCATCACCCTGCCGGTGCTGGCGCCCGACGTGGACAGCCACTCACCTTGGCGGAACCTGCAGCTGCATGACTGGATGTCGGAGGAGTACGCGCACCTGGAGGATCCTTTCCTGAAGCTCTCTGGCTTCCCTTGCTCCTGGACCTTCTTCCACCATCTCTGGGGACAGATCCGGAGCGAGTTCACCCTGCACGACCACCTTCGGGAAAAGGCCCAAGGTCTCCTGAGACAGCTCCGCCTGCGCAGCACCAGGGGCCTCCCGAGCACCTTCGTGGGTGTCCACGTGCGCCGTGGCGACTACCTGCAGATTATGCCCCGCCACTGGAAGGGTGTGGTGGGCGATCGCGCCTACCTCCGGCAGGCCATGAACTGGTTCCGGGCCCGGCACAAGGCCCCCATCTTTGTGGTCACCAGTAACGGCATGGAGTGGTGCCGTGAGAACATCGACACTTCCCAGGGGGATGTGGTGTTTGCTGGCGACGGGCAGGAGGCATCGCCGGGGAAGGACTTTGCTTTGCTCACGCAGTGCAACCACACCATCATGACCATTGGCACTTTCGGCTTCTGGGCCGCCTATCTTGCTGGTGGAGACACTGTCTACCTGGCCAACTTCACCTTGCCTAGCTCCAGCTTCCTTGACATCTTCAAGCCCGAGGCCGCCTTCCTGCCTGAGTGGGTGGGCATTAATGCAGACTTGTCTCCACTCCAGTAACTGCCGACGAGGCCTTTTGGAATAGCCTGATCCACCTAGGGCCAGCATTATGCGTCTCCAGAGGCCTAGAAGCTTCCGGAGAAGCTTGTGGTGGTCCTGCAGCAGGTGGGCACCCATTTCTAGAGTGATTCTAGCTGGCTAGACTTTCAGAGAAAGGGGAGCTTCCAGCAACTGTCTGAACATTCTAGAACGAGCAGGAAATATTTTCCTGATGACTGGCAATGTCTGGGAAGGCTAACGACAGTTCTGCAAGGTACAGTGGCCACTTGTAGCTCCCAGCCCATATCCAGAGTACTTCTGGATGGCTGCCCCCCAGGAATCAGGAACTACCCCCTCTAGTGTTGACTCTTTAGCTCTTTTCTAGAAGAGACGTTTTTCTTCTCCTGGGTCCTCAGGACTGTAGGGACTCATGGGTGTTTTAGAGCAAACACTCACCAACGCCCCTTCTGTATTTCTGGAGTGGTTCTAGATGGGGGGTTTGCTCTAGAGAGGGCCAGCTGAAGAACCCTGCAGGGCCCTTCCAGAGGGGTAGAGTTGTGGAATTATAGATACCTTTGGTGAAGGGTTGAATAAAGGTACAACTGGAAGCTCAACACCTCACCACTGCCAGAAAGATTGATGGAAGACAAACTATGCGTAGCTGGGACAATTTGTGAGAAGAGTGAAACTCTATTCAACCTCTCAGCCTATGATAAAAACCACAAAGACAATTTTTTCCCCCAGCAGATAGGCTAAAACATAGGAGGTGGAGGAGAGGGATGGCTGCTGAAATGCTGTAGCTTCTGGCTGCAAGGCTTTCCAGGGAGACTTTTTTTTTTTTTTTTAAGCTAAAAAACTGCCAAAGACAGGCACTGCCCATGATGACTCCGAATTTGGGTTGCCTCTCCCAATTAAGGACATTTCTTCCTCTGCAGCTGGGCTGCTGGGGGAGATGGGATGGATTTTCTGGAAGTCAGATGGAATAAATGTGCCCTTTGGGTTTGCAGAAAGCTGCTGGTATTGTGCCTCCTTGCCACCATTGTCCGTCTGTCCCTGAATTCACAGAACCACTAAATCTGGCTTTTAAGTGAGGGGTGGAAAGATCCGAGGGTATGCAGATCCTGGTTTGGCCAAGGAGGATGGGATTCTTTTTTTTCTATCCTCACCTGAGGAGTGAGGATATTTTTTTCCATAGATTTTAGAGAAAGTGAAGGGGGAGGGGGAGAGGGACATTGATGTGAGACACACACATTAATTGGTTACCTCTCGCACGTGCCTCGACCAGAGCTGGGGGTCGAGCCTGCAACTGAGGTAGTGCCCTTGGCCGGAATTGCCCCCCGGGGACCCTTTGGTCTGCAGGCCAGTGCTTTAACCACTGAGCCAAACCGGCTAGGGCCCCTTGTGGCTTTTTGCAGGGGGTGAAGGTAGATCCTTTTATTACAGAATCGCCTATGAATCTAAGCCCGTTTCCTAGTCTTTTCAGGGAGTTTTGGGGGACTATTCCCTACTCAGCTGCCATAAGTGGGAGAGGGAAGTATGAATTAAAAGTCCACATCACCAACCCGTCTCTAGATTTTTTGGAGTCTCGTGTGTATGAGTGTGTCAGTGTGTGTGTGTGTGTGTGTGTGTGTGTGT